CTCAAAAAAAAAAAAAAAAGGAACAGAGCTTAAGGGACTTGGTACATGGGGTATGCCAGCATTCACATTAAAGGAGTACCAAAACAGAGTAGAGCGCACAAGGAACAGAAAGAATATTTGAAGAAATAATGACTGAAAACTTCCCAAATTTGATGAAGCTCACATCCAAAAAGCTAAACGGATTCCAAGTAGGTAAACTCAAGGATAAACTAAAAGAGGTCCAACCCAAGACACATCAGAGTCAAACTGTTGAAGGCCAGACAAATGGAGAAGATCTTGAAAGCAGTAAGAGAGTACAACCCAATCAAAAAATGAGCAACATATTTGAGAAGATGTACAAATGACCAACAAGTACATGAAAGCATGCTCAATATCATTAGTCACTAGGGAAATGCAAATTAAAACCACAGCAAGATACCACTTCACACCTATTAAGGATGGCTATTATCAAAACAATGGAAAATAACAATTAACAAGGATATAGATAAATTGGCACCTGCATACATTGCAGGTGGGAATGTAAACTAGTGTAGCCACTGTGGTAAACAGTTTGGTGGTTCCTCAATAAGTTAAATGTTAAATTACCATGTGACCCAGCAATTCCATTCCCAGGTACATACCCCAAAGAATTGGAAACAGGTGTTCAAACCAAAACTTGTACAAGAATGCTCATTTAAGTACAATTTGCAATAGCCAAAAGGTGGAAATAACCCAGATGTCCATCAACTGATGAATAAACAAAATGTGATGTAGCCATACAATGGAATATTATTCAACCATAGAAAGGATTTAAGCACTGATAACGTGCTACAGCATGGATGAACGTCGAAAACTGTATGCTAAGTGTAAGAAGCCAGACACAAAAGGCACAAGTTGTATGATTTCCATTTATATGCGGTATCCATAGGTAATTGGATATTTGCCTATCCACAGAATAGGCAGTCCATAGAGACAAAACACAGATTAGTGGTTGCAGGGGTTGGGGAGTTGGGGGGATGGGGAATGCCTACTTAATGGGTACAAGGTTTCCTTTTTTGGGGTTATGAAAATCTAGAACTAGATTGTGATATGGGTTGTATAACATTGAGAATATACTAAATACCCCTGAATTTCATACTTCAGAATAGTTTAGTCAATTGTATGTGCATTTTACCACAATTTTAAAAAAAATACATAACATGTATGTATACACACACTCACAAAGGAGGTCCATAAGATTTTGCATAGTTTATGCCACAAGATCTGAAGACACATCCCAGAAAGGAGTTTCTAACATACTTGGCCAGTGGCAAGGACAAATAACCATGGGGTTATAGGGTGTCGACTGGTTGCATAGAGGAGGCCCTGAGCCTTCCTGTGTGAACACAAGGTCAGCATACACAACCACAGTACAGGCCACTCTTCCTGTCCTGCCCCTAGGAGCACATCCTGCAGCATATTTGTTTCCTGCCTAGTTGAGAATCTAGTTGCCAGACCACCCTCCTCCCAAAAGAATCAACCATGATTTTTCTCCAGTCCCGTTTTTCACTTTTTTGTTACCAGATAGATGGTCACCGCATCCCATAATAGCAATCCTTTTTTGGTACAGGGCCATTCTGGCCCTATCTAGTACTGTTCTTGTGAATGCAGAAGCAAAGGACTTGAATTAGACGTTCATGCAGTATCAAATAGCTATTTGAACATTTATAGCAATGTTGAATTGTAGGCACTCTGTATTTTTTCTATCCATTTTAGAAGTGCCTTTTCTTCTTCCACGCCCATTATTATTTCATGTTGGTGACAGCTTGGTTGAGCAAGCAAGTATATACCCTTTTTCTGACCCTTCGGAAAAGGACTATGTAACTTTAATTCTTTTCAGCCTCTGTTCACACACTGCAGTCTGAGCAGCTGCCCAGGGAAAAAGTCAGCCAGCCCCAGGCAAGTAGAGAGCACCTCAATCTCTGCAGAGAAGGATTGTGCTGTGGAAAATTAGAGGGATCCCAAGGTGGGAGGATCGCTTGAGGCCAAGAGTTGGAAACCAGCCTGAGCAACATAGCAAGACCCAATCTCTACAAAAAGTGAAAAAAATGAGCCACACACCTGCAATCCCAGCTGCTCCGGAGGCTGAGGTGGGAAGATCACTGGAGCCTAGGAGTTTGTGCACCACTGCACTCTAGCCTGGGTGACAGAGCGAGATGCCATCTATAAAAAAAAAAAATAGAAAGAAAAGAAAATTACAGTTGCGTTTGGACACAGCTTTTCAAATTGGAATCTTTTTCATCAGAACTTTGAGTTCTTGAAGCATTGAGCAATGTTGTCACAGTTGCTGAGTAATTAAAATCATGAACATATATACTCTGTTATTAAGCTGGCAATAATAAATTCACTTTAAACTTTGTCTCCTTGATGATGTTTTCTATTCAATAAAACTTAGAACTCATTTGTTCTATAACTCGAATTGGGTTTAAATTATTTTCAAGCCAGGTTGTGCCTTCCTTCATTTTATACCACTCACAAATTAGATGTAAGTAAATAGCAGCCAGTTTTCTAATGTGTTTTTCTGTTTTTAAACACATGATCTGGTTTCTACAACAGTCTTCTAAATATCGGTAATGAAAAGCCCTTGCCCGCCCCAGACTCAACCTGGCTACGCTCACTTAACAGAACTGGCAGTAGTGGGAAGAAGCTGCGTGTCCCAGCCTCAGGCAAGAGTCTGCAGCTCAGAATTCACTCCTAGACTGTTACTATCTTAAGGCTGGAGCAGTTCTTCTGGTCACCATTCTTTGAGTTCCTAATTGGAGGGATGAGAAGTGCTTAGAGCCATTGAGGACAGTCGCAGTTTTCAACCATCCATCATTTGGGTCCTTTGTGCTCTGCCCGGGTGTCAGTAGCATACTTCTTGACCGACCCCTGTCAAGACTACACGTACTCAAACAGGCTAGTTCAGCCGCACAGCCCCTGCCCTCTGCCTGCAAGGCACTCAGCTTAGTCGAGGAGGACACATAAACAATTACAGGCCAAGGTGGTAAGTGTTATTTTGTAGTTACAGAGTGCCACAGAAGCACCTAATTCAGCAGTGCGGCTCTAGACAAAGAGCAGTCCGTCATTTTTACTCTAGTCATTTGTCTTTCCATATCAGTTCAAATGATTCTGGAAACAAGTAACTTCCCGTTAGCCAGGATGCAGTCATATGCTTGCCCATGCTCTAGCTACAAGGGATTCTGGGAGTGTGGAACTCTGACATAGGAGGTAGGCTCTGCCAACAAAGAAGGCCAAGTATTCAAAACTGCAGGATGTATAACTAAGGCTTAGGCTTACTGGCTTTCAGTTATCCAACTTTGCATATATAAAACACATACTTTAGGAAGACCCTGAGACTTTTCTCTCTATTTTAAGCCATGGATTCCTTCCTATAACAAATACGGCAGTCATTTTTTTCTAAAGGCTAAGTGCCAGGCACTGTGCCAGGGTGCTTTATATTTTATCTATAGTCCTCACAACACTGTGAGAAAACTGTGTTTTCCCAGTTTAAAATGAGGAAACTGAGTCTCCAGGCAGTTGAGTAATTTACCCAATGACGTACAATTGATAAACTTTGAACCCAGTTTCCAGGCTCCAAAACATGGACTTTTTTCATGCTTTGAATGTCACCAAAAGCCATAGGCAATCATTATATGTGGGAAGAAATAAATACTTCGTGACTGTAATATTTTTCTTTCCTCATTGTCACTGCCAGCTCCAATTATGTTTTCTTATTTCAGTGAAGAAAAAATGACTGCTGCCCGCATTAGAAAATGCCACAAATGTGGGACCGGTCTCATCAAATCTGAAGGCTGCAACCGCATGTCATGCCGCTGTGGCGCCCAAATGTGCTACCTCTGTCGCGTGTCTATCAATGGGTATGACCATTTCTGCCAGCATCCCCGCTCACCAGGAGCCCCTTGTCAAGAGTGTTCAAGATGCTCTCTCTGGACCGACCCCACTGTGAGTAGATACATGGCTGCCATTGCATTATGGGGGAAAATGTCAATAAATTTCTATAATGAAAACATATTTTGTATATACGTAACAAATTTTGACTCAACGAGAAGATACAGGAAGTTACATAGACCGATCATAAAAGAAAAAAATTTGAGAAAGTAATTAAAAGCTACTCTTCAGAAAGCAGCATGCCCAGTTTATGGGCAAATTCTTTCAGTAACCTTTAGGGAATAAAATTTTTCTATGCTGTCTGAAATATTCCAGAGCATAGGAAAGTAAGTAAAGTTATACATAGATTTGTATAAAGTCAGCATAATGCTGATACCAAAGCCTGACAGAGCCCAAAAAAAGAAAACTACATTTTTTGTTAAAATCTGACATACAAATACAGGTTTTAAATTCTCTAAATATTAGCAAATAGAAAGCATGGCCAAGTAAGTTTGTTCCAGAAATTGTTTAATATTAACTCTATTGATAGAATTCACCACATGGTATCTTTAGATGATAAAAAGACATTTAATAAAATCAATATTCTTGATTTAAGCTCCAAAAAAAATAGTATTAGATGCTTCCTTGATATGATTTTTTTAAACCCCAGATTTCAAAACTCTTGTCAGCATGTATTTAGTAGTAAATATGTAGAAGCATTCCCAGTGAAGTCAGGTGTAAGACTGTCACCACTATTTTGTTCTGAAACTGGTAGCCAATGCAGTTAGCTAAGAGAATAAAATAAAAAGTATAGATGCTAGAAATGGTCATAGCGCCATGTGTCAAACACTGTTCTAAAGCACTTTTGTATGTAAAGAAAGGCAAATTTACCATTTTAAACCTGAAAAAGGACAAAATAATGAACTGGAAAGTTATCAGAAGCAGTAGAAAGATGGCTAGATACAAAATATATGTAATGCCATTTGCAATAGCAATAGAAATGATAAGATACCTTAGAATAAGCCAGGCACGGTGGCATGTGCCTGTAATGCCAGCTACTTGGAAGGCTGAGGCAAGAGGATCACTTGAGCCCAGGAGTTCAAGGCCAGCCTGGGAAACATAGCAAGACCTGTCTCAAAAAAAAAAAAAAAAACCCTAGAAATGAACTTTAACAAGAAATGTATAGAGGTTGGTTGCAGTGGCTCATGCCTATAATGCTAGCACTCTGGGTGACCGAGGCAGGAGGATCCCTTGAGCTCAGGAGTTTGAAACCAACCTGAGTAAGAGTGAGACCCCATCTCTACTAAAAATATTAATAGAAAAAATTGACTGGGCATGGTGGCACACAACTGTAATCCCAGCTACTCAGGAGGCTGAGGCAGGAAGATCATTTGAGGCCAGGAGTTTGAAGTTGCAGTGAGCTATGATGACACCACTGCACTCTAGCCAGGGCGACAGAGTGTGACTCTGTCTCAAAAAAAAAGAAAGAAAGAAATGTATAGAAATATGAAGAAAACCACAAAACTATATTTAAGGACGTAAAAAGACACAAACATATGCAGAAATATGCTCTGTTCTTAAATAAATTTTAAAATTTAAAAGGGATCAATTCTTCTTAAAATGATTTTTAAACTAAAAAATGAGCAGAGCCAGTTCTAAGCTAATCTGTAAGAATAACCATAGCATAATGTGAGGAGACTTGTTCTACCAAAAGGTGATGCTGTGTGAGAGCGAGTTCCCTGCTGACATAGAGCAAGTGTGCCAAGACCCACTAGGAGGCAGGCCTGGTGACAGACCAGCCCTTCTCAGCTTCCACTGGGGAAAATTAAGGGGGCCCAGGCAGTGGAGAAAAAAGCCTGTCCTCACAGGGGACATGTGGCATTACAGAGAGATCACCGCTCTCTAAAATCACCTAGAAATTTAATGTAATTCACATCTAAATTCAGTAGGATTTTTTTTAATTGACTGTAATTTTGAAAGTGAGACTAATTTTTACTATAAAGCTACAATAATCAAAACCATATGGACTAATACAAGAATAGGCAAATAGATCCAAGGGACAAAATGGAGACCAGAAACAGACCTATAAGAAATTAGGTATAACAAAAAATACTGTTTCAAATCGCTGGAGAAATGATAGATTTATTCATTTGTTCTTTCTTAACTATGCAATGTTGCTAGAACTGGTCTGAACAGAAAAGCCCAGGCGTGGAGTAAACTTCATGGAGTTTACAGTCTAATGCAGTCTAAAGCATGACTCTGTCGTGTATTTAATGCTGCTTCTGAATAACAAAAGTGCTGCACTAGAGAACGGCAGGCCAGGTGCAGGAGGGAGGCCCACTGTGGATGGTGGTATGGGCCAGAGTCGTTTGTAATGAGACCTGGAGGAGCAGCCAGGCCTACCAGGAAATCAGACTTCTGGCCTGTTTGAGGAGGGGCTGGCCAAGAGCTAGGACAGGGTCTTGAGTACAGTGGGAGCCACTGCAGGGTGTCACCAGGGATTACGTTGCTCTCAAGATCACACTGGCTACTATATGGAGAAAGGGGACAAAACGAAGATACTCGGATAATCTTGGAGAAGAGAAGGTGGTTCTTAGCATTTCAAAGCCAGACTAAAAAAAAACATAAATACTCTTTAGCAGAAGACACCATAAACAAGGATGAAGATAAGAGAAAAACTGGGGAAAATAGTTGTAACATATATATGATTCAGATAAATGTTCTTGATTTGTAAAGAGTACTATGTGACTCATTCAGAAATCAATAAGTAAGTAATCCTTACTATATTAGTAAAGATTGATTGGCTGCAAACAACAGAAAGTCAAAAAATACTACCATAAACAAGGTAGAAGTTTATTTCTCCCTCGTGTGTTAGTACAGCGGTGGACAGCCCGGCAATGGGCTGGCAGCTCTTCCCAGGATCCAATTGATTCCAGCATTCTGGTCTGCCACCTCCAGAATATAGCCGAGGATCCCATATGGTCATGGTCTGAAAAGGAGCTCTGCTGACAAACCCACGTTCCAAGCAGCAGAAGGGGCCAGAAGGGACAGAGAGCCTCCCAGCTATCTCTTAAGGAATGTTGTTTCCATGAGCTGGAGCTACTTCAGTCCCCTTAGCTAGAACTTACTCACATGTCCACGAGAGAGACTGAGAAAGCCGTCTTGATTTTAGGCCTTCGTGGGCCCACCTAAGACTTCTGTGGAAGGAGGAGGGTGTTATACTGGAGACCACTCACAGTCTGTTCACTCGAGTGGAAAAAAATAGACAGGAGCAATAAAAAGAGAAGAATTGCCAGGAGACCAAAAAGCTTGTGGAAAGCTGCTTACTTTCCTACCTAGCACAATGTGGTAGCATTGGGTGACAGCACTTCTAATATCAGTGGAAATGCAAATAGCACCTATTGGATTGTCAGGTATTTTTCAGATTGGTTGGGCATCTCATACACCGTTTGTTTTTTGTTTGTTGTTTTTAAGACAAGGTCTTGCTCTGTTGCCCAGGCTGGAGTGCAGTGGCGCGATCATAGCTCACTGCAGCCTTGAACTCCTGGGCTCAAGCAATCCTCCTGCCTCAGCCTCCCAAGTAGCTAGGACTACAGGCATGTGACACCATGCCCGGCTAATTTTTAAATTTTTTTTTTTTTAAGAGATGGCGGTCTTGCTGTGTTGCCTAGGCTGGTCTTGAGCTTCTGGCCTAAAGTGATCCTCCTGCCTCAGCCTCCGAAAGTGTTGGATTACAGGCATGAGCCAACACACCCAGCCTCACAGATTATTGATGGAATATAATTGGGCATAGTGGACATTGGGGTGTACAAATCAGAAATTTTAATACGTATACCCTTGACCTAACAGTTCCACTTAACTGGGAAAAGATCCTAAGGAGACAATTGGCCAAGTTCACAAAGTTCTGTCTACAAAACTTGTCACTAAATGATTTAAACTAGTGTAAATTTAGAAACCACATTTAAATATCCCAAAAAATAGATATGTCAAATTGTATATATGCTTATGTTAGAATAGCACAAAAAGTAATGCGCTCTCTCGCTCTCTCTCTTTCTCTCTCTCTCTCTCTCTCTCTCTCTCTCT